TGGTCGAGGTGGTGGATCTTGTTGCGGGGGTTGCAAGCAGGTTTGCAACGGCTTTCGGGGGTGGTTTGTTGTTGATGGCACTGCTGATGACGTTAGGCATGTAACGGAAGTCGCGGTCGGCAGGGATATTGAGCTCTGGCCTCGAGTAGAAGCGACCCATGGCGGCGAGATGCACGTCGCCGCCGAGAATGGTGACGCGGACGGAGTGCTTTCGTGATAAGTGCTGCAGGCTCTGGATTAGCTCGCGACGCTCGCGCTTGTGTTGACGTGCGGTGTAGTGATCGTCCAGATCGTCGAGGAGGTCTACTTGGCCGTCAAATTTGTTGAAGAAGCTGCCGCCGACGCCGAACCGTTTGTTGAGCAAGCGGATTGGCGCGATCAGCGGGGACCTTATGAGGTTTTCTAGCCAGGCGAGGCGGGGGTATGCGATTGGGACGCCCAGGAGAAGGATCAAATGCTTGATGTCGCCGTTGGATGCCGCAATCTCCTGGTCTAGTCGGGAAAATATCATGTCATAGGTTTCCTGATAGTTCACCTGATGGCGCGTACGCTCTGTGCGGGCATCGACCCCGGCAAAAGCCATGCGCCGTCCAAGGCGCATATATAAATTTCTACTACGCTCTTCCAAGTAAGGTCCAGGGGATTTGCCAGTGATGAAGCTCGGGTCTTCCACGACTTCTTTATACACATAAGCGTGCTCCAGCTGCCTAGGATCAGGGCCAGAGGTTCCGTTGACTGCGGACATAGTTTCGGGAGAATCGGTAGTAAATGTAGACACGGGTGGAGCCACATGGTGCTGGAAAAGTAAGTAATATTTAAAAGCAACGCCTCCAATACCACGGAACACGGCGCATTTCATGAAATGATCAGTGTATGAGCCGAATCCATCGATGATGTCATGATCATCCCAGATATTAATTTGAGGAATTTGTGAGTTTGCGGTTGCGAACGACTCCATCCCATACCATTTGATGTAGTTTTCGTAGTAATAACTGTCGCATTCGTTCCTCATCTTTTCTGGGAACGGATGCGTCCTTCTCTTATGTGGATTCGAAATATCGGTCCACTCCTTTAGTGGACCATCGACCCGTACACTATCGTTATAGATTTGATCGCCGCCTCCGATCATGACGTGGAATGGCCGCTCCTCGTGCAGGCGAAGCACCTCATTCCATAAAAGGGGACCTTGCCAGTAATCAAGATCCGTACCAATGGAGAAACCATTGCATGAATGGAACATAATGCGCATCGAGTGGTTTGCGCCTGGGACAACGAAACTCCAGCGGCCGGTAGACTCCTTGTGATTGAAGTAGTGGAATCGGGGGAAAAAATATTCCCAGCGCATCTGCTGGGCTCGTAAGGGCACCATAACCGAGAATCGCCAGAAAGCCTTGTTGTGGTCCGCGAACAGTTTGACCCCCTCCACGGTTGTTACTTGGCTGTCACTTTGCGACACATTGCCGTTGACCAGAGTGGAGCGCTCTGAGCCATTACCAGAAAGAGCGGACGTTGGGCGCAACTTCATGACTGGCTGTTTCTGCCCTGGCTTTGTGACAAGCAGCACGCTGCCCAGCCAGGTTGAGAACTCTTGGTTCGCATCCCGGAAGCCCTTGTATCAGACGGGGCACAGATGACCTCGATGATCGCTGAAACTGATGATGCTGGGCCGTTCCA